CAGATATGCACTACCATGCCCAGCTATTTTCTGTTTTATTGTAGAGATGAGGTCTCGCCAAGTTGCCCTGGCTGGTCTCAAACCCGTGGGCTCAGGCAATCCACTTGCCTCAGCCTCCCAAAGTGCTGGGATTGCAGGATGAGCCACTGAGTCTGGCCTCATTTTCATTTTAACAGGAATCTTTTAATTTTTTTTTGATTTCTGTGTTGACCCAGTAGTCATTCAGCATCATGGTGTTTGGTGTCCATGTCTTTGTGGGTTTTGCGGGAATTTTATTGGTGTTGATATTTATTTTTATTCCACTGTGGTCTGAGAAGGTGCATGGCAGTATTTCGATCTTATGCAATTTGTTTATGCTTAATTTATGGCTGAGGATCTGATCGATCTTGGAGTATGTTCCATGTGGTGATGAGTAGAATGTATATTCTGTGGTTGGGTGGAGTATTCTGTAGGTATCTATTAAGTCTGTTTGGTCAAGTTGAGGTTCCAGATCTCTTTGTTGATTTTTTTCTTGCCTCAGTTATCTACCTCGGGTTGTTACTGGAGTATTTAAGTCCCTAGCTATAATAGTGTTAGAGTCAGTATCTCTTTTTAGTTTATTTAGTAGTTGCTTTATAAATGATGGTGCTTTTGTAGTGGGTGCATATATGTTTAGGATGGATATTTCTTGTTCATGGATTGAAGCTTTTATCATTATATAGTGTCCTTCCATATCTATTTTAATTTTTGATAACTTAAAGGTTGTTTTGTCTAATATTAAGATCACGACTCCTGCCTTCTTTTGTGATCCATACACCTGGAAAATAAGTTTCCATCCTCTAGTTTTGAGTCTGTTGTGTCCCTTGTGGTGAGATGAGATTCCTCAATGCAGCAAATTATTGGGTCATGGTTTTTTATGCGGTTTGCCATTCAGTTCAAGCTGATTACTGAAATATGATTGTTTATCCTTGTCATGAGATTCATTTTGTGTGTGTGTGAGAGAAAGCAGGATTTATTGAGAGGTTAGAAAAGCTCCCACAGTGGGAGGGGACCCGAGGAAGTTGCCCGTCCTGAGGTTCTTATAAAAAATTTTTTTGTTTTCTTTTAGCTTTTGGATTGATGTGTGTGTGTATTTTCAAGTTTGCAGACTCAGTGTATTCTCTGTTGATTCTGTGTTCTGCAGTTTCTTGGGAAGTACTTGGTCATTCTTTTTTTTTTTTTTCTTTTTTCTGTGCTTAATGCCTTTTTAGCATCTCTTGTAGAGCTGGTCTAGAAGCTGCATATTCTCTTAATGATTGGATGTCTGGGAAGAATTTTACTTCTCCATTGCTGATGAAACTGAGTTTGTCTGGGTAGGAAATTCTTGGTTGAAATTGTTTATCTTTGAGGACTTTGAATATTGGACCCCCAGTCCCTTCTAGCTTGTAGTGTTTCTGCTGATAGTTCTGCTGCTATTCTGATTGGTTTTCCCTGGTAGGTTATCTGACCTTTCTCTCTTGCTGCCTTTAGAATTTTTTCTTTTGTGCCTACTTTGTGTAGGCAAATTACTGTGTGTCTAGGGGTTGGTCTTCTCATTTGATTTCTTGCGGGAATTCTCTGTATCTCTTATGTTTGGATGGTCACATCTCTAGTGAGATAGGAAAAGTTTTCTTGGATCACTTCCTGGAATACTTAATTAAGGTTGTTCTCCATTTCCCTTTCTTCTTCTGGGATACCAATCACGCATAGGTGCAGTCTCTTAATATAATTGCACATCTCTTGGAGGCTGTGTTCTTTCTAAGTTTTCTTTCCATGTTTTCTACAGATGAGTTAATTCCATGTTTTGGTCTTCAGGTTCTGAGATTTTTTCTTCTGCTTGATTAATTCTGCTTTTCATGCTTGTCATCTTGTTATTTATTTCCTGGATGAAATTTTTTATGGCCAAAATCTCTGTTACAAGTTCTTTCAGTGTTGCATCTTGTCTTTCTTGAGTCATATTCATTCTTTCTACTCATTCCCTAATCCCTGTTGTATTCTGGGGCCAGTCGCTGGTGACTTACTATGTTTGGGCTCTGAGGTCTGATTTTTCAAGTGTCTTCTTTTTGTAACACTGGGAATTACCTGTGCTCTTTGGTTGATTTTTCCTCATTTGTGATATATCTCTTTCTTTTCTCTTTAGTTCTGTTATTCCGTGGCAATGGGAGAGACTTTCACTTCTGATGTTTGCTCAGCCCTCTATTCTTCCCTGATCGGGGCTCTGAATTTATTCTATTTTGTAACAGGGATGTGGGTGGGAAGCTTTGCTGTCTCTTGTAGTTTTGAGAGGTGAATAAGGTGGAGGATGGGGAGCTAGGATTCAGAAACTACTTGAAAATCACAGTGTTCACTGCTTGTGGTATGGGTTCCCTGAGACCCACTGCCCACTGCCACTCTATATGATGATACCTCCTGAGTCTAAGATACAGTAACAACAATGAGAAGAACAGAGAACATAAAATGAAATAAGATGGACAAAAATTTAAAAATAAACAATAAACAACAAAGAGCTGAAACCAAAGCAAAAACAATTAAACACACACACACCAAAACTGAAATAACAACAAAGCAAAACAAAACAAACAACAAAAAAAAGGAAAACCAAACACACACACACGCCCAACCCAAAATGAAAAAAGACAAAAAAGAGGAAAAAACAGAAAAGAAAAAAAATTCAAATCGAACCCCCATACATGTATTCACATACATTAAACTAAATAAAGAAAAGAACAAAAAAACAAAAATAAAAAATACTGAAAGATGAACACTCAATCCTTCACTTACACACGTAAACAGAAAACAAAACAGGAAAGAAGAAAGAAAAAACAAGGGTGTGGGGGGAATGTAGATTGAACCTTCATATACACCTTCATGCACAAAGGAAAAATGTAAAAAAATTGAAAACCAACCAAACCAACCTGCCCTCTTGTGGCAGGTTCTGTAATTGTTCCTCTCAGCTGCCCCTCTGCTATCCCCTGTAGAACTTTACCTCATTCACAATCTCCCCAGTGTCCAGCCCAGGGAATAAGTGGAGGGAGGAGTAGAGGTAGGTGGGACATCAGTTCTCCCCTCCTACTTTAGTATGGCCAGGGGTATCCCCTCTGGTGAGGAAGTATGGGATTGTCTCTTCCCCAGGTGCTGGCGGCGGTTCCCCAGCCAGGCTTGACCTGGAGGGGAGGCCTCCTGTTGTGGCTAACATCCAGGGGTTCGTCTCTCTCAGTCATGGGTTAGCCCCAGACTGTCCATTGGTCTCTTTGGAGGTCTTCCTTGTCCTTTTCTGGCCACAACCTTTTTCCCCCGTGGCTGAATCAGGGTAGAGGGTGGGGCACCTGAGACTCAGCATTAGTCCTTTACCTCTGGAGTTTGTGCTTTCAGGATATTCCCTCTGGGTCACCATCAACCCCTGAGTAGTATATCTGCTGGTCACGGAGATCGGGTCTGTCGCTCCATGGTGAGCAAGCCAGAGCACTTTCCTGCCCTGTTTTCAAGGTGATGGCAGGGTGCCTCTTTATTCTTCTCCAGTGGGGCTCTCTCTGCCTCTGGACTCATCCTCACTGTGCTCTCTCGGCAGCCCTTGCTGCCATTATTCGACCAGGCGCTACTGTGATGAGGCAGAGCCTGGAGCCAGCAGCCTCTCCTGGCAACTTCTTCCCGGGAAGAGCTTTATTGAGTTTTAAGAAATGGCACTTAGCTTCTACGCCCCGGGAAGTGCTAGGGACCAAGCAGAGCAGCTGCGCCACCAGCTGCTTCACCAGGAGAGCCCTGGCCACTTGCTCTCAAGTCCCCAGTCAGCCACTCACACACCCACTTACTCATTGACACTTACCCAAAATTTTCCATACACTCACTCACTCACATTGGGACTCGTTTAGTTTAACTGGCTCTGCCACCGTCTTACTGAGAATCCTCACAATTTAAAAAAATAAACAATGTTTTTTCTCTTTTACAAATAAAGAAATTGAAGCTCAGAAAAGCTAAGAAATCTCCCTAAAGAGCATACTCCCATAAATTAAGTCCAAGCCTGTCTGATGCCAAAGTCTGTACATTTCTTATCAGAGCTTTGCAAAAATATGTATGCCTTATAGTTAAAAATAGGAAAGTATTCAACAAAAACAAAAATAATTAGTGTGTGTGATTGATAGATGGATGAATCCTTATCACAAATACAATAATATGCATACTCATTCAAGTTTAAAGATCTTAGAGCTTACCAGTAATGGCCATTTAAACTCAGATTCACGTTTCTCTCTGTCCTTGTGAGCTGATGGGGACACTTATCAGAACATTCAGCAGCTCCTTGCTTGGAGGTTGCAGCCCCAACTAACCACACTGAAACTTTTTTGACTATCTCATTACTTCTGGTTTAAATCTATTGGTTGAAAGATTCACTATCAACATTTTGGGACTAAAAGAGGTACTACATTATATGACTCCTTCAATTACCTGATGCATCCCAGTTTTAGAATTGTGAAACTGCACTCTAAAAATTAAAGTTTAAGCCGGGCTCGGTGGCTCATCCTGTAATCCTGCACCTTGGGAAGCTGAGGTGAGTGGATTGCCTGAGCCTGCGGGTTCGAGACCCGCCTGGGCAACTTGGTGAGACTTCATCTCTACAATAAATCAAAAATTAGCCGGGTGTGGTAGTGCGCACCTGTAGTTCCAGCCACTTGGAAGGCTGAGGCGGAAGGATCGCCGGAGCCCAGCAAGCAAGCTGCGGTGGCCGGGAGTGGCCACTGCACTCCAGTCTGGGTGACAGAGTGAGACTCCAACTCAAAAAAAATAAAATAAAATAAAAATTAAAGTATAATATTTGTTGTGATCACATGACCTAAGTTTTCCAACAGTGCTTTTTCTTATATTCAAATGATAGCATTATGAATGATACTTTACTTTTCTTTGAAATTATTGCTATATGTTGTTTTAAAAAATGGGAAAAAAAGTGTATACTTAATAGTGACCTGTCTCATAAAGTTGCCAGTTATTTAAAACTCAGTTTTGTTTCATAGGTATTATCCTTATCATTATGCACCTTTCCTGTCTGATATTCGTAATATCAGTACAATCAAAATCCATTTTGAACTGGGAAAACCTTTTAAGCCTTTTGAACAACTTCTTGCTGTACTTCCAGCAGCTAGCAAAAATTTACTTCCTACATGCTACCAGGTGGGTTTTTTAACTGAATGTTTTTAATGTCCTTTTTAATATTAGATGCTCCTCCTTCACCTAGAAACAATAGTACCCAAGTTTAATTAATAGTTAAATATATTTATTTTCAGTTTTAAACATAGTACTTCTGTAACAAATCCTTTGAAAAGTAATTCTTGATTTAAAGTTGTTTTAAAAATGCAGACAAACTCCATAGACCATTCAGAGCATAACCTCATTTTTCAGGACCTTTAAATATATCTTCAATTTGTCTCTATACTGAAGGTAAGCTAAAACAGACAAAACCTGAAACCATCTACTTTGTCCAAACATGTACAGATTCATTTCTCTTTTACTGTCTACCATTTAGCATGGGTATGGTTTGTTTTTGTTTTTGTTTTTGTTTCGAGTTGTAGTCTCACTCTGTCGCCCAGACTGGAGTGCAGTGGCCGCTTCCGGCCACCGCAGCCTTGACCTGCTGGGCTCCGGCGATCCTTCCACCTCAGCCTTCCGAGTAGCTGGAATTACAGGCATGTGCTACCACGCCTGGCTGATTTTTTTTTTTAATTTTATTGTAGAGATGAGGTCTCGCCAAGTTGCCCAGGCGCGTCTCGAACCCGCGGGCTCAGGCAGTCCACTTACCTCAGCCTCCCAAAGCACGGGATTACAGGCTGAGCCACCAAGCCCGGCTGGGTATGGTTTTAATAAGTCATTTATCTCAACAATAGTAGTTCCTCAGTATATATTTGGATTTTAAGGATTTTATTTACCAAGTTGTGAAATGAAAGGCTTTTCTTTGGTTAGCATATTTTGCATAACAAGAAGATATTTCAGGAGTGATAGGATTATCAAAATTACACTAAGTGAAATTACACTTAGGTGATTTTGAAGTAAAGCATCATTTAGTCCTTCTAGCGTTCTGAACCTTAACCATGATCCTGGCCTCCCTTTTTTCATAAGTTTCTTTGATACTTGTTTCTTCCTGCCCTCAGATGATTGAGCTTTAATAGTCAACCACTCTGTACCAATATGACCATACCAGTGTTTTATAGCAACATCTGTTTTAACTGCTCAGTGCCTATGCCATACTGGTTATTAACTATTTTGAATATCACTCTGGGAATATGCTGTTTTATTTCTTTAAAAAAATTTTATATCATAATCTTTCATATTCATGTTCTAGAAGACATCCTTATGTTTTCTTTGCCTCTGTTGTAAAATCTCTAATAAAAGCATGTGTTTTTGAACTGTTTCTCTTTGATATTAGTAGTGCAGTGGCTCTTGGATTTTAGGATTTTTTTTTAATTGTCTTGTTTGACAGTGTTTTATTACTTAATATAATCAGTTGATTAGGATATGAAGGTAAATTGTTAATTTGAGGCTAAAAATGGAAGACTATTAGAAGCCTGTGACATTAACTGAAATGAAGTCTGAATAGGAAAATGATTTAGGTGGTGGGTATTACAGGTTGAAAAAATAATAGCAAAATTAATGTTCAGAGTAAAGATGGGTGCTATGTAACTAGATAAATAAAATAAGAAAGTGATTAGTAGCAGTGAAATTAGAAATTTTATAGTTAAAAATAAAAATGTAAGAAATATAACATGTCTAAGATATAAAAATTTAGTTTGCTTTGCTTAGAAATTTTAAGCTGTAATGTGAGGAAATATTATAAATACATTAACAAAAATCTATGTTGATATTAGTTCTTATCTTTCTATTACTTTATTTTACATTTTCACAGCATTTGATGACCAGTGAGGACTCGCCAATTATAGAATATTATCCACCTGATTTCAAAACTGACCTAAATGGGAAACAACAGGAATGGGAAGCTGTGGTATTAATACCTTTTATTGATGAGGTCAGTGCATGAAAAGTTATCATATACACTTTTTTGTTTGTTTTAAGTTGGAATCTCACTCTATTGCCCATACTGGAGTATAGTGGCGTACTCAGTTACCACAGCCTTGACCTGCTGGACTCAGGTGATCCTTCCACCTCAGCCTTCCAAGTAGCTGGAATCTCAAGCGTTCACCCCAATGTCCAGCTAATTTTTTGATTTGTTGTAGTGATGAGATCTCACCAAGTTGCCCAGGCTGGTCTCAAAACCCTGGGATCCGGCAGTCCTTCCATCTCTGCCTCCCAAAGTCCTGGATTGCAGACATGGACACTGCTCCTGGCTATATACACATTCTTAATCAGAGATTACTTTACATAAGTTAATGAATAATAAATTTTAACCACCATGTTTTGTTAATGAGATTTAACTACTGTATTCACTATTAGCATTAAAACCTCTAAGCGTTCTAATTATAATAAGGCTGAAGTGGATTTACTTTTATTAGACAAAATAGTCTTCAGAACAAGGAGTATTGCCAGAGATAAAGAGATAATTTATTTATACTGATAAAAGAGTCAAGTTAGTTCAAGAAGACATAAAAATTCTAAATGTACATGCACCTAATAATAGAGTCTCAAATACATGAAGCGAAAACTGGTAGGAGTAAAGGGAGAAATAGACAAATCCATAATTATATAGTTGGAAATTTTAGCATTTTTCTTGGAAGAATTGATAGCCCAAGAGGAAAGAAAATGCGTAAGAATAAAGAAGACTTAAATAATACTATAAACCCACTCAGTCTCATTAATATTTATGGAACACTACACCCAACAACTGTAGAATACACATTCTTTGGAAGTGAATAAGGAAAGTTCACCAAGATTATTTGTGGAGCTGTAAAACATGTCTCAGTGAATTTAAAGGATTGAAATCTTATAATATTCTCTGATCACATAGCTTTAAGTTAGAAACAGTAACAAAAATATGATAAGTTTCCAAGTACTTTGAAAATAAATAACACACTTCCGAATAACCTATGGATGAAAGAAAAAATTAAAAGGGAAATTAGAAAATACTTTGATCTGACCTGTAATCTCAGCACTTGAGCGTAGGAGTTCAAGACCTACTGGCCAAACAGCGAGACCCTGTCTATACAAATAATACAAAATTGACTGGACATAATGGTGCACATCTATAGTCCTTGCTACTTGGGAGACTGATACAGGAGGATCACTTGAGCCCAGGAATTCAAGGTTACAATGAGCTCCGATTGTGCCACTACACTATGCCTAGGTGACAGAGCAAGACCCTGTCTAAAAAAAGAAAAGAAAAAGAAAATACTTTTGTCTGAGTTGTAACTGAAATACAACATATTATAATGCAACTAAGTTGGGGCTTAAAGGGAAACTTAAGGATCTAGATGCTTATACTAACAGTAAAAAGATTTAAAATAAATGATCTAATCTTCTGCCTTAAAAAGCTAGAGAAAGAAAGAGCAAATTAAATCCGAACTAAGCAGAATGAAGGAAACAGAAGATAGAAGTAGAAATCCCTGAAAAATGAACAAACAATAGAGAAAAATTAATGCAACCAAAAGTTTGTTCTTTAAAATGTTTAGTAAAGTTGATCAATCCTAGCTAGACTGATCAAGAAAGTTAAAAAATGGTGGGAGAGGGGCACAAATAAATTGCTAGTATTGGGAATGAGAGAGGAAACATACTAAAGAGTCTACATATAGTCAGGAATATTATGATCAAACTTTATGTCAACAAATTTAACAACCTAGAAAGAAATGGACACATTATATCACAACTTAGCAAAACTGACAGAAAAATCCTAAATCTTCTAGACTCAAATGTCTTCACTTATGAATTCCAGCAAACATTTAAGAAAGAAATAATGCCAGTCATACACAAACTTTCAAAAAATAGAACAGAGGAAATTACTTCCCAACATTTTTTTTAGAACAGCGTATTCCAGATACCCAAACTAGACAGTGGGATTATAAGAAAAGAAAATTCCTAAGTAATTACTTTAGTAATTATAAAAATCACTAAGAAATTTATCCCTCCTAAAGGTAGACACAAAAACTCTTTTTTTAAAAAATTGGAGTCTGACTCTGTCACCCAGACTGTAGTGCAGTGGCACACTCCTGGTCACTGCAGCCTGATCCTTCCACCGCAGCCTTGAGTAGCTACTTGGGTAGCCAGAGCCACAGGCGCACGCTACCACGCCCGGCTAATTTTTTATTTATTTATTGCAGAGACAAGGTCTCGCCAAGTTGCCCAGGTGGATTTCGAACCCGCAGGCTCAGGAAATCCACTCGCCTCGGCCACCCAAAGTCCTGGGATTACAGGCCGAGCCACCAAGCCCAGTCAATACAAAAACTCTTAAGAAAATAA